GTTGAGCAAAACGTATTTCATTCGACTTACAAATGATTTGAAATACCATCTTTTATAATAATATCTCTTTGTTGAAAAATAGGGTATTTTACACCATGTAAAATAAAACCAAAAAATATATATTTATGATAGATTTTGTAAAAAGTTAACGAGAAATATTGATTTATGTTTATTAAATTGCATTATAAATTTTATATTTTAATTTTACGAATATTTCGTTTCGTCTGTGCCTTAAGTCTGTAAAATTAGACATGTCGTGACGTCACTGATCCAGCTTATGGATATTAGTGTTCTGTATCACTGATTTAAGAGAACTAGCGAACGTGCTGTGTTATGTAGAAAATTTTCAAGTTATCATTACGATTATTGAGTTTTATTACGAATTTGATTGAAAGGGCATCATGGAAGTCGAATTCGTTACAGCAGAAAAATATAATCTACCAAGGATAAATAAATTGAAGGTGGCAATTTTTTTAATGCGATCCCAATTTTTGTTCTGCTGAGTTGACGAATGTTAAAACATCAATGTTAGTCATTGAAGTAATATGTACTTACGTACTAGAACAGCTATCTCAAACAAAAAATGTGCGCTACTCTGTGTTCGCGCGGTTGTTTTTTTTTTATCATAGAATAAACATAGGTAGAATGATTCCGTAGGTAATAGTAGATCACATTGTTAAATAGGTAAATTATATCGAGAACAATATTTAAATTTTGTCATTTATTTTGTATATTATATTTGCTTAATTTAATACAATATTACATAATATTATATCACAATTATATTTTAATGATATTTTTATCTGAATATGTTAAAAGGTATCTACGTCAAATATAAAAAAAACATACTAAATGTGTATTTAACAAAACTTATTAACATAACATTTAAAATTCAAATATATTTATTTAAATTAGAATTAGTCATTCATAAATGCTGGACACGCGAAAGTTAAAAATGGACGAATTTATTATCACTTTGACTTTGATATGGAAACCTAAAAATAAAACAAAAGAATAATAAGCAGATTTAAACATGAAAAATTTAGCCTAATTATTATAACTTATATATGTTTCTACAAAAAAAATGTGTATAATAATATATTCGTCCTATACTTAAGTACCAACAGAAATATCGCTTCTGAACATATTAATTATATTCTATGACACGAGATGGCGTCTTAGCAATAATTTGTTTTATTATTATTCTATAATACTTTTTTATAGATAAAGTATCTTATTAACCGATGAAAAGTAATTCCTTAGTTTTTACTGACATTTCTTGAATTATTTGTGCAATATCTAAGTAAACACGACGGCATATTTTTATCAAGATTTTTTTTAAATCAACACAACACGTGTCAACTCTACAAGCGCCTAGCGAGTGAATGATTAAAGTGCGGTGTATGCACCGCAGTTGAGTGGAACATAGTAGCTGAATGCAGTGTCGCCTCTAGTACGTAGTACGTAATAGCTCAATGATGTTAGTAAATTTAATAATAACCTCTTACCAACTTTTGTTTATACAAAAACACAATACCAGGTGCGAGTGTATTTTGATAAAACATAGTTTAGTAGCTATCATAGTTTAGTTTCTTTAGTTTAGTATCTTTAATTACAATCATTAGCAATCATTAGTTACAATATATATTTATGATAGATTTTGTAAAAAGTAAACGAGAAATATTGATTTATGTTTATAAAATTGCTTTATAAATTTTATATATCTAAGTTAACGTAATTTATTATTGCTTGCCCTTCACCTCATAATGTTTGTTTTGTATTAAACGATAATTAAATATAAGTCATACTTACATCTAAATGATCTTCACAGAAGAATAGTCTGGTTTATGTAGACAATGTATTCGGGTATCTTCTTGCCAGTTCTAGCAAAGTACCTATTTCTTATATTTAAATCAGTTAGCACTTGAATCCATAACTTTGTCGCCGTTCTTATGCTCGTATTTTTGCATTCAGGCACAACACACCAATAATTTGGATGATAACTCATTACTAAACAAAATAAAAAAAAGTATCTTATTCCTTTGCAAAATTGGCCGAATCGACGACTGTGATGTCACGAGTTAAACAAAATGGCGGCTGGCGTTTTCACGCGAAAATTTAAAACGATAGATTAAAAGTAATTTTTATGGCACTATTGGGTTTAAAAAAATTACATAAAAATTATAGTAGTTCCTTATAACTGTATAATGTTAATGTAATAATGTGTGTATAATGAAGATATAGTAATGTACTCTAGGATTCATTTAAGACAGTACAGTACAGTACAGTTTTTGAAAATGGGTAAAATACCCTATTGAACCTTGAAAGTGTCTTTTGCAGTAGTTTTATACGTAGGTCACTCAATAAGTTTCGAGATGCTCGAAATTTAAAAATGGAACGTACCCGTGTTAAATGTTTTCAAAAAGCTAAATTTGAAAATAAAAATTCATAAGCCAATTGCTTAATATTGAAAAAAAATTCTATTAATTTTCCTGCAACTCTTCTCGCGATTTTCATTTAAAGCGATGGATCTTAACCGTGAAAATTTGCGCGCTATGATCTATTATGATTTTAAATTTGGTTTAACCGAACATTTAAGTTTACAACGGTTACAATCAGCATTAGGGGACTCAGGTCCATCACGCGCAACAATTAGGTGGTTTTCTGAATTCAAAAGGGGTAAAATTAAACTTAAAAATGACCAAATAACCGGGGCCCCGCAAACAGCACTAACGGCAGAAAATGTATGGACTACTGAAATGTTGGTGCGAGAAGACCCAAGAATCACATATACGGACATTGAAAATATTAGAGGCAGTTCGGGAAGCATTCGTACCATCCTACATCAACATCTTGGAGTGAGGAAGCTTTTTTGTCGATGGATCTCTCGTTTTCTCTCCGAAAGCGAAAAACAGACTCGTGTGGATTGGTGCTATGAAATGCGTCTACGTTTTGAAAACGGGGTATCTAAACGGTAAAACATGTAGAATATACACATATATAGAATATGATCGAGAAAATAAAAGGCAATCATCGGTACGGGTCTACTCAGGAGGGCAGTTACCGTAAAAACTGCAAAGACCTCGCAACGCTGACAAAAAAATATGGTGGCTAGTTTTTTTTTCGCGGAGTGACATTTATCGACGTCAATGCTGGAAAATTGTAGGTCAGTCAACTCTATACTACAGTTGCATTATCCAAAGCTTTTCAATCTGTGCGGGAGAGAAGACTAAAGACCGGGCTTCGGGGAATCATGCTGTATCACGATAACACCTCTTGACATACCTCCTTTAGAACAAAAGCATTTAGTGAGGAATCTGGTGATTTCTTTTTGTTCCCAAGAGTCAATGAAAAAATAAAAGGCTAGTTTTTTTCAAGCGCCGAAGTAGCTCTGGCTGCCTACGAAGAAGCGATTTCCGACCTGTCAGATGAAGACTGGCAAAAGTGTTTTCAGAGTTGGTTTAGGCGCATGGAACTTTGTATAGAGCATGATGGAGAATATTTTAAATAGATGTAAAATAAATGTTAATAGTATCTAGAATACTTTTTGTATATCTCGCAAATTATTGAGTGTCCTGTGTACACATTTTATTCATTTTACGCTATAGACTAACTTGAGTCAAGCATAAATTAAACGAAAATGTGTAATTTATACATTAAAAATCGTGGGCCCCTAGCTCACTAACGTTAATTTCAAGTAACGTTATCACTAACCCGATCTAATAAGTGTGCAACCACAAGGAGTGATTGCGGGTCACTAGCGATACGAATAAGGAAGGTATTGGAAACGGGCAGGGTGTCGGGATTCAGGATCTTACCGAAACACTAAATACGTAAGGTACGCGTCGTCATTTTGACGAATGGTTAGTGACACAGGGTTAAAAAATTATGACCTTTACCATACATTTATTGTATATGGCCAAATTCATCTTAGATATTACGCTGTTGGGTGAAATATCCTAGTCCTGATATCCTATATATATTAAACCTGGCCTGCGCGTAGCTTATAATTATTAGGTTTTAGTCTGATTTACGCAGAATGAGCTTTCACATTTTTTAATCTTACAGTGTTACGTTTGAGTTAAGATACTATTGTCATAATCACGGTAGCATCTAGGCATCTAGAATTAAGATGATTTAATTTCAATATCCTCGTGAATCATTCTCAGAAGATATCGTTGCTATTCTGCAAGAATTTGTGATGTATTTAAGCTAATAAACTCCTCGAAAGGGACTAAACAGGCCAGACTTTGCGACCCTTTTTCGTTACGTTTGGCATCGTTTAGTATTATTTAATAAAGTTTAAACGCAGTATGTGTTGAAATAAATAGGTACCTATTTTCTTGCTTTCTTTCTATTCCTAAATACAAAATTTTTTCATCGGTTTTAATCCCGCGCCATCTACTAAAGATCGGTAAAACTATTTTAAATAAAAATTATTTATGTAGAAACAGTAAGCTAAAAGCTGACGTTGTTACTAATATTTTTTATAGATGTCGCTTATACAAATATCTGTGAAAGTTACTTTTATAATAATAATCGAAATGAACTAGTAGTGAATTCATAAAAATAAAATAGACCTACATTCTTGTTCAACAATTTTTAAAAAATTTTTCGTTATATGTTTATAAATCTTATAAGAAAAATATTATCTAAAAATTAGCAAAATATATTGCACCTGCAATAATTGTATTATCCTTTTGAATAAATATTACAAAACAAAACTCCGATAGCAATAGTGCAACTAATAATATCGAGGACCTTGCCTATTTCTAAATTATGTCAAGTACTACGAATGTGTGCCACAAATATGGTGCAAATGAAGAACATGTTCTAAAATAACTGTTTGTACGCTTCATGCGCTTAGATTCGTAGGTTATCTATTTTATTTAATATTATTTTAGTTTAGTCTTAATGTTAAAACAAGCAATTACAAAATCAGCGTATAATCTAAGATGTTCCATTTTTGTTGTTTATGTACATGTTTATCATTAAAGTCGATGTACAGAAATTGTACCGTTCTGTTTCTTTTTTATTTAGTACAAACCTTATTTCTAATTACTTCGGCAGATAGAAATATTGGTAAGTGTTTTTAATTTCCACATAAAGTTTTATTTTGACAACCTATAAAAAACTGTCCTGTATGAAAACTAATCACAATTTAATCAATCATAGGTGCAATATTTGATGATGGTAGTTTTTTGTACGAAGCTGCATTTAATGTGGCTATTGAAATGGCGTCGGAAAATCAAGAAAATCCTTTTGTTGCAAATGTTATAAAAACTTCACCTGGTGATATCGTAGAGGCAGAAAATGCCCTTTGTTCTCTACTAGAGGTAGATGTAGTATTAATTGCTTTTATTGCATGGAAAAATATAAAAATAACAATGTGAAGTTAAGGTAATTAAATACATTAACATATTTGCGTTAATTTCAGAGTAATATATTTGCAATATTTGGACCTGTTCATAAAACTTCTCTGCTACACGTTCAATCCATAGCGGATTACATCGAAATGCCTCAAGTTATCACTGAATTTATAGAAACTCAAAATCGTAATTGGTCTGCTGTGAATTTATATCCCAGTTACTTAGCTTATTCACAGGTGAAAAAAATTGACAAGTTTGTAAAAATGTTACAAATACATTTTTTTATTAATGTGTTTTTTATCGATTCTAGCTTTTTATAGATATAATCGCAATTAAAGGTTGGACTGATTTTACAATAATTTATGAAGGTGCCGAACTGTTACCATTTTTAGACACTATTTTAACTATGCAAAATGTAATTACAGAAGAAAATTTTAAAATAAATGTTGTTCAACTAACCGATGGCGATGACTACAGGTGTTTATTATGATAATCATTTTTAAGCAATTATTGTGCAGCGACTTGTCGATCGTTTTGTCTATTACAATTAATATCAATTTATTAATATCAGCTTTCCTAATTCAGAAACCAATTAAAAACTATAAAAATGTCTGGCTCAGTTAACTATTTAATAATAAGCGGAAAAGAAAATTTACCTCAGATTCTTCTACAAGCTCAGCAGGTTGGAATAATGTCTGATGAACACAGCTATTTAATTATGAACCCTGATTTTCATACTCTTGATTTAGAACCATTTAAGCATGGAGGTTCAAATATTGCTGGTAAGTGTTTTACAAATGTAGTTTTTGAAGTTAATATATATATATAGTTTATTTTATAAACTTGTATAATTTCAATTTTAGGTATACGGTTTTTTGACCAGAATTCAAAAAATATTCGAAATTTCATAAAAGCCTTAAACGAAAAAGTAATTGAGTTATCTGAAGGAAAAATTGAAAGTGCTGTTCCAGAATTTGGGCTTACTTTAAGTTTAGCTTTATTATACGATTCAGTTATCTTGTACACTTCAGCCATAAATACAATAGGCTTGAACGAAGGTTCTAATACAACGTGTGAAAGTAAGGAGAATTGGAATTTTGGGTCAAGTATTATAAATTTTATACGAACTGTAAGTAAATTTAATTGAAACGTAAATATCCACCGATAATAATTAAGAAATATGTTACGAAATAAGTTCATTGCATTTTATTTTGTAGATAGAAATGTATGGGCTAACAGGTCCTGTTAAGTTTAATGAAGATGGCTTACGTTCTGATTTTGAAGTAGATGTTCTTGAAGTCATGTCTCATGGATTTGAAAAGGTATGTGTTTTAATAACTAATATCATTAATATTTATAATCATAATCGAAACGCATTTTATGTCTACTGTAAGTCAAGTTTATTTTACTCAACGGTAAAAGTTGAGTAAAAACCATAAACTAAAGAAGAATTATAAAGTTATAAAGATCCGTGGTAATAAATCGCTGGCGGAGTCTGCTGGCGGAATTGAAACAACAAATCGTAAGCGCAGTTTCATTCAATATATTAAATATTGTTTCTGATTAATTAGATAGGTTCATGGACACCTGAAGACGGGTATGTTGAAACAAGAGTAATTATACCGCCAGTAGAAGAAGAAGGAAGTGACTCTATGAAAGGCAAACATTTTATAATACTAACTGCTTTGGTACGTAAATATTATTTTAATATATATTATTTTAAGTGCCTGTGTAACAGAACTTTTCTAAGATGCCACATATCTGGATAGACAAGGCAAGTAAAAGATATCTAATAACAACATTTAGTCCAAATCGTTAAAGCCGTTTCCGAGAAAACACTTAGGTATATACAAGAATTGCTCACAAATCTATTTAGCCTAGCTCAGAGAGCCGTGGTAGCTCCGATGGTTAGCGCTCGCTGTAAATTTTACAGTACGCCAGTAACCCGGGTTCGATAAAATTGTTAATTGCTATTTTAAGTGCTGATTTACCACGTGTTCGGTGGTAAAGGAAAACATGTCTCAGAAATAAGAAAAAAATATTTCGAAAACATGATGTGTAAGACAACACGCATTGGGGCAGCGCGGCGGACACTTCCTTGCCCAAAAGCCCTTGGAGAAGCCTGTGCTCAGCAGTGAGACAAATATATCCTATAACTTCACATAATATGTATATATACATACTAGCGATCTGCCACGGCTTCGCACGGATGATATCTGGATTCTACAACAGCGCCATCTACCGGGTTCAACTATGTGTATAACTTTCGCGGAAGTGCAAGCAATACGTTGACAAAGTTTACCGCAATCTGATGAACGGTATGGAAGCGCATAAAGTACGGACAAACAAATATTAATTTTTATATATTAGATATCTATACACACACACACACACACACACAAATCAACATACTATAGGGATATTTTAACAACACATGAATTCCAAAGCCGTGGTAACTCAGATGGTTAACGTAATACATAAACATACATAAAAACTCACGCCTGTCACCCAGAGGGGTAGGCAGAGACTCCAGACTTCCATTTAGCACGATGGTTAACGCTCGCTGTAAATATAACAGAACGCGAGTAACCTGGGTTCGATCTCCGCCGGCACCAATGAAATTGTTAATTGCAATTTTAAGTGCTAATTTACCACGTGCTTGGCGGTGAAGGAAAACATCGTGAGGAAACCTGTATGTCTGAGGAATAAGAAAAAAATATTTGGAAAGTCATGTGAAGTTCGCCAACACGCATTGGGGCAGCGCGGCGGACACTTCCTTGCCCTAAAACCCTCTCAGAAATGAGGGGTGGCCTGTGCCCAGCTATGGGACGTGTATAGGCTCTAACTTTACTTTTACTTTTATGAATTTCAAAGAGTATTTCAGTATTTTCTTAAGACATTTATACAGGGTAAATATCCCTAAAGAGTAGCCAAATTTTATACTTAAGTAATATATAATTAATGATATACCGTTATTGCAGTTTTTGAAAATACGAGTAAATAAGTCTTCTACTTTTATTTGAAATTATTTCAAATTTAGTGTGATTTATTGGCAACAGCGTTTTTGCCTACAGTTCGACCCAGTGAATCTGTGTGTGAAAATAATGCAAAGAACAGAATGTTTGAGTTATTAATTTTTCTTCACCGTTTGTCTGTTACTTTTTCTGAACCTTCTGTGCAAATTTGGCCTGTTTTTTTTTTCAGTTAAAATTTGGAAAAATAACTCTATATATCCAAGAACACTTTATTAACTAATTTACTATTTTTAAATAAAAATTGACTTTAAAAGAAATTTCAGGTCTTTATGCAAAAAATAAAAACGTTTGAAAACTGTACATCATGAAAGTTTAATTTTTATTTTAAATAAACCAAAGCAAAAACATTTTAAGGGTGGCTAAAATGTTTTTGCTTATAATATAAAGCAGGTTGGACATACTTAGAATGAGGTTGTCAATATCCTGTTGAGGAATATTTTTCCAGTTCCTACTGAGATGCATAAAAAGTTGTTCTTCTGCACTCGATTTTCAGGAAAATCCCTGAGAGCTCTTTTTTGGAGCATTTCCCAAGTATGAGCAATGGGATTTAAATCTAGGGATTGTCATTCTATAGCCGTGACATCATTTCCATGCAACCAGGCTGTCAGCACCCTGGCCGTATGTGAAAGGGCAATGTCGTACATAGGTAGGAAATTTTGACCTATTGATGTTCGATGTGGCAAGACTAAGGGGTCAAGCACCTTATTACGGTATTGTGTAGTCGTAATTGTGCCCTGTAATCAAACGAGTTCCGTTTTTCCACCAATACAAGTTTCTGCCCCACACGATAATTTTACCACCTTAATATGGATGAAATTCTTGAGGGTGTTAAAGCCGGCATGTACGGCTAAGAACTCTCCAAACATGTATTGCCCTCGAACCAGGATAAAAACAAAAGTGGGATTGATCGGTAAAAAATACCAAGTATTACTGATTAGATTCCGAATTCACATGTTCTCTAGCCCATTGCAGTCTTCGTCTACGATTTTTCTTCTTAGAGCTGGAACCCGAAATGGTCACGAGCATGAAAGTTGGCTTTGTACAGTCTTCTCCTCACTTTTGGTCAATTACAAGCACCTCGTGTTCAGACTGCAGCCTTTAAACAAAATGCCACAGCGACATCACGTTGAAAAACACCAGCCTGCAGCATTCCCATTGCTCTTAACATCTCTCCTCTAATTAAATGTCAACGTTGCATTACAATAAATGTCATATTACCACAATAAACCCCAGTTGAATCAAAAATATATTTCAATAGCGGTTTTCAGCAAAAAATAACGATTACTCTGAGTAAAAAATTCGCTATACCTAGTTTTATTTTTTCTTTTATTTAATTTTGAATCAATCTAAAAAATATATCCTCTGTCTAAATTTATCCTCGATTAAGATTCAAAGTGCAGATGCGTTGTCATCGATACCTGAAGACTAAGATTGAATGCCTCGTTTTCATTGAAAAGGGGCTCCGGTTGTCTACAATCACCATACGAAATACAGTAGCAATTAACTGCTATTTTACGCTAGCATTCTGTGAGCTGGTCTTCCCCGGTCGGGCCAACCCATTTGTGCTACAAATATTATAGCTATATAGCTGCAGCATGGCGCAAGCTAAGAAAAAAGAAAAGAAAAGAAGCCACGTAAGAAATTAATTACGAAATCGAAAAAATTGGGTTTAATAATTATATATAATAGATATATTTTTAATATTAATATTGCTTATTTGTACATGCAAGATTTCGTTGCTTTAGTTAAAAATAATTTTCATGTTTGTTTATTCCAACAGAGTGCTCCGTATGGAATGCTTAAAGAATCATCAATTAAACTGGAAGGTAACAATCGCTATGAAGGTTTTGGAATCGAGCTTATAGAAGAACTTGCTAAAATGAATGAATTTAATTACACATTTGAAATACAAGCAGATGGTGTATATGGAGCTTACGATAAGAAACAACGAAAATGGAGCGGCATGATGGCGAAAATAATGGATGGTGTAAATTATTAATTTTTGTAGCATTACTGTTCTGAACAAAAACTAAAACAAAAAAAAAATAGAATTAGTGACGAATATTTCATGTTACAGTTTTTAAATTTATATTTCAGAGGGCTGATTTTGCTATAACCGATTTAACTATTACTAGTGCTAGACAAAAAGTGGTTGACTTTACAAATCCTTTCATGAATCTTGGAATAACGATTCTTTATAAAAAACCTACTAAACAACCACCTAATTTGTTTTCTTTTATTTTTCCATTTTCATATGAGGTGGGATATTTCAATTATCTTTATATATATATATGAAACGTGTATAACTTTTCTATTTGTGAAATTGGCACAAAAATTTCAGGTGTGGGGTTGGTTAGCTGGTGCATATGTTGGAGTTTCGGTTCTTTTATTTATATTAGGAAGATTCGCTCCTGAAGAATGGCAAAATCCTTATCCTTGTATTGAGGAACCAGAAACTTTAGATAATCAATTTACTTTAGCCAATGCTTTTTGGTTTACATTAGGAAGCGTCCTTACACAGGGATCTGAAATTGCCCCAATGTAATAAAATTGTTTTTATGTCAATTTTTATTTTACATAACATATGTAAACTTTTTTATCTAATGTGTTATTATTATTATTAATTATTTGTTTATTTAATATCATTACGTTTATTGTATTGGATCTTAATATTTTTATTATTATATATTTTGTTTAATAGTTGTAGTTATTTGAAATTCCAGAGCCGTATCAACAAGGATGGCTGGTAGTATGTGGTGGTTCTTTACATTAATTATGGTTTCATCATATACTGCAAATTTGGCTGCATTTTTGACAGTTGAATCGAAATTCTACGCTATTAAAAGTGTATCAGACTTAGCAAACAATCCGTACAAAATTACCTACGGAGCAAAAAAAGGTGGAGCTACTTACGGTTTTTTTAAAGTGAGCTTCAGTCGAGCACTTGATATATAAATATTCATGAAGTTGAGTTTTTTTTATTTAAGTTTTTAATCTTTTATCGCAGGAATCAGATAATTTACTATACCAAAAAATGTGCAAGTATATGGATGATCACCCAGAATTAATGACATCATCTAACGAAAAAGGCTTAGAAAGGTATATATACGTTGGAGAGTATAATTATAGATTTAAATGGAAATGATATTCTGTAATCAATAATACATAAGGTATGAAGTATTTATAATCTACAAAACATATATGCTCATAATATTTATATTTTTTTAGAGTTAAGTCCGAAAAGGAAAACTACGCTTTTCTAATGGAGTCAACCTCAATTGAATATATGGTGGAAAGAAACTGTGACGTTGCTCAAGTGGGAGGTTTACTTGATAACAAAGGTTATGGAATCGCAATGAAAAAAAGTAAGTTGAGTCAATTATGGTAGCTCAGGGGCTAAGCATTCGCTGTAAATTTCACAATACGCGAGTAACCCGATTTCGATCCCAGCTGGTACCCAAGAAATTGTTAAACGCTACTTTAAGTGCTGGTTTACCACGTGCTTGATGGTGAAGTGAAATATCGTGAGTCAGAAAAATAAAAACTAAATATATTGAAAACATGTGTAGTTTGCCAACACGTATTGGGTCAGCGCGGCGGACATTTCCTTGCTCTAAAACTCTCTTAGAAATAAGAGGAGGCTTCTGTACCCAGCAGTGGGACGTATATACGCTGTATATATACTTTAACTTCAAGACAATTATGGAAAAAAAGTAGTTGACTTAAAAATATTTAAATTAATTATAATTTACAGATTCACCTTACAGGCAACCAATGAGCGAATCAATTTTGCAATTACAAGAACAAGGCATATTAACGCGAATGAAAGACAAATGGTGGAAAGAAAAAAGAGGAGGTGGTGCTTGTGCGGTAAGACTAATCTGTTATTTTTTAAGATATTAAAATTCATTTCTGTAAGCAAATCGTTATTTTTCTTAAGGATGATGATGCAAGTAGTGGAGATGCACAGCCGTTGGTTTTAGCTAATGTGGGTGGCGTGTTTATAGTTCTTGCAGCTGGCTCTGGATTGGCGGTAGTTTGCGCCTTTATTGAAATGATTTTCGACGTTTGGATGATATCACATAAAAATAAGGTAACACAAATTCTCAAATTTAATATTCATTTCCGTACTATCGCTGTGATGATATTTGTACACAAACATAATGATGTATAATTAAAATTATATATGCGGTTATTATTATTTCACCACTGTCGTCATCACTAGATAAAAAATCTTACATAAATGAAATATAACACTTCCAAAATTAATAAAATTACTTAATGGTTCGTATTCAGAGTTCCAAATAACACTGCATTATTATTTCAGGTATCGTTCAGAGATGAACTCATCGCGGAACTGAGATTCATTCTAAGTTTCAGTGGTGATACTAAGCCAGTCCGTCACAGAGAATCTACTGGGTCAAAAAGTTCTAAGAAGGAAGAAGAAGAAAAGTGTGAAAGCGGTGAAATAGTTTTTAACGGAGACGAAAATCGAGTTGATCCTTCCCCTACTCCACGTTCTGAAAGATCATCGCACTCACATCATAAAGTACATAGCCGAAGGCAAAGTAATACCATTCAAATAGCCAAAATGCGTAAATTTAGTTAATCTGTAATTACAAATATTATAAAGCAAATATCTTAATAAAATTTGATTTGTAATACATTGCATTGCCTTATATTTTTAATATCGTTTTAACTTAAAAATGTTAGTTCCTTAGGGTTTTTCGAATTGGTTAAATTATTTTGTTTCTTTAATTTGTCAGTGATTTCAGATATTTCAAGTTTTGAAAGATATATAAAGGGAATTAATAAAATTTCTAATTAGTTATCTTGGTAGAACCCACGTATTTCAATATATTTAAAAAATCTCTATTACCTATTTAAACAAAACATTAATTTGTGTAAGATAAGCGGTTGCTGGACATTAACAGATCTGAAAAGTACTGAACTTCTAGGGTCCCCGAGTAAGTATTCGAGCGAGGACATTAAAGTTTAAAAAATCGACGCTCATCAATTTTCTTCCATTAAAAATTATAAGCATTTGATTGTACGCCACATAGTAGGAGCATATCGAAAAAGAAAACTCTTAGTAAAATGTACAGTGGTAGACCGCCAAGCATCTAGATGGTGCGGATGATATCGTGAGTTTTGTAGCGATGAGTGGTCGTGAAATTTGGCGACTAGAATTAATCCAAACAATTTCTCATAGCACAGTACGTGCGATAGAAAAAGCAAAGTGATGCAACATATCTACGCAGCGCCAGTGAATCGAGCCGATCAGAAAGCACTCGGTGCGATGCGGCGGTGATGCGTTCAAGTGCAAAGAGCTGCACTGGGGTGCCCCAGCCCAGAGATGAGACCAAGATTCCATGTGAGTAAGAACTCGCGCTTTGTAAAAATGCAAGCAATACTGTACTGTATTTCGTGTACAAGAAATACTGTCTCGTTGTGCAGAGCACGCCAAACTTTCAACAACCAATGCCTCCCCCTTGGACTCTACTGTCTCCGCCCATTTATGAGTTAGGTAGACTAGAAGATCACCAACTGATCGACCACGACGAAAACCATATTGGCGGTCACTAATCAGCTGTTGATCCTCAAGGTAGATGAGATGTAGTTTATAGTGGACTTAATTATTTAGGAGATCAAAGAGGTGTTTGCGATGGGCCTGTAGTTTGCTGTCTTCCATAAATTCGAGACTATGCTTTGGGTGTAGAAGTACCGGAAAATACGCATTAAAACCGGTGCTAACTACTTAGCGCACTTTTACAGCACAATGGGAGGGACTCAATTAGGCCCCATCGACTTGTTGACGTCCAGGGAGAGGAGTGTCTTGTGCACCGAGCAATGTGTAAACAGTACATCTGACATGGAGCACTCACACAGCGACATAGTCAGCAGTGTATTCGTCCCGTCATCGAGAGTCGAGTTGGATGCAAAGAAAAAGCCTAACAGATCGGCTTTCTCCTTTGCGGCGTGGGCCAGTGTGTCGTACTCTCTGTGCAGAGATAGAAGAGATGGCTGACACAAGTTCCCTTGGACAGCCTTGGCAAGAAATCAGAATGCACGGGTTCCCGAAGGAAGGCGAAATAGCTTCTCTCCTTCTGCCGCTCTGAATGTGCTTTAGCAGTAACTCTTTTGAAGAACCTGGTAGCGGAATTATACTTATTTTGAAGAGCAAAGGTGTTTACATCCCGAGATGTTGATTCGGCTTAGGCCCGGTAGCATTCCTGTTTATATCATTTTACAGGAACGACCAAAGGCACCACAAAAGATGGAATAAAAAGTTCCATACCTTGAAGTACCACATCAGCGACAGAATTAACAACAACGCTGGGATCGTCCGCCGAGAAACAAACCAAGGGTATAAAAAATACCGCATCCTATCCCAATCGGCTGACCTGGTGCAAAAAAAGACTGCATCCTATCCCAATCGGCCGACCTATAGTGCCAAAGACGGCGGCAGTCTGCATAATGCAACCGCGATGTTAATGTGAATGGCACCACACTCCGGACAATACAATGGTCCAAAGATGATAAACATCAAAGGTGCGACGAAAACCTGATATCCGTCCAGATCTGAAGTCAGCAGAAGGGCCAACAGAGAAGGGGTATGATCCTTCACATCAGGAATCCGCGTAGACGAAGTAACCCGCCAAGGCAAAGTCATAAACAGATCTCCCCGCATGATCGGTTTAACGTGACCCAAGCTATTCGGAGTGGTGGACGTTTAAATCGCCAAGAATGAACAGATCGGTACCTTCAACACTGCCGTGTCGAAAACAGGTGTCCGCTCTGACGGATACGCAAACTCGTGCCCGGGGTATAAAGGAGTGTTCTAATTTGTACACCGTGTAGGAGAGATATGAAATATCAGCTGGAGAGAACACCTGAGTCTCGGTTAAAAAGAGCAAGGCCAGCTTTGCCGTCTCCAGATGGTAGTGGACAGCGTTAAGGTTTAAATGAAGACAAGCGAAGCGAAACGCAGAAGTAAACATCTACTTCACGCTGGTATTCTGTGAGGTCGTAGTACCACTCGTGTTCGAGCCGGCCCATCCGTGCGACAGCAAAAGCTGCCGCGATGCTTCTACCGCGTAAAATATAACTATCTTTTTCCCAAATTACAATCCTGGTTTCATTGATACGTGTCAGCCATTTAATTAGCTAGGCCTTTATTAATTAGATGTACTCTGTCGGAATGTCACATGTGAAGGGTAGAAAGAGCGCTTTATTAAAGACGCCCATAATTGTTACTAATTAAACAGGCGAAAGATCTTCGAATAGTTACTTAGATCCATTTTAAATAATAACAAATTTATTAAAAATTTTTGCTTACTATACAATAGCGATAACCGCTCAAAGGTTGGCAAGTGCTGACGGCAGCAGTTACTTGTATCGTAGGCGAAGCGAAGGTAATCGTGTCGAGCTTTAAAACATTGCGGTTAAATATCGTCCATCGATCGTATTGCATCGACATTCTCCATAAATGAGATGCATATCAGCGTATTCCAACGGTGTGTACGGTAGCGGCATGATAAACGCTAAACAGTCCAAAATACGCCAATAGTCCAATTCACAAAACACACAATCACAGTCCAAAATAATGCCAGGTCAGTTCAGTTTGCAGATCACCAGTCCAAAAAGCGAAGCCAAAAGTCGTTAGTACGAGAGCCACATCAATTGAATACGGAACGGTGCACAGTAAACAAAGGAGTAGAGTGTACTGACTGACTTGTTGAGAACACTAAAGCAACTAGGCTTTAATAACTAAGGTTCCTTGAATAGGTTAGTTACGGTTCAGTTCTACATTATCGAATCTCGCAAGCAACAAGTATTTGTATGGTTTACAAATAATTATGTCGGTTCAATGTTTGTCCTTGTAAAATTAATATTTGTAATGAATACTCATACGAAAGTAATTTTTTGTGCTGGGTTAACGATATTTAAAAGAAAAAAAAAGAAGATAAAAATCTTTTATGTACACAAATTGTACGTAATGTTTAAATAAATTTTCAGATACATTTTTAGAATCGTAAGTTATAGGAAACCGGTAACCATAATCTTACACCTTTTTATATTCATTTCAATCTTATAGAGATATTTATATCGTTTGTTATAAATTTGTTATGACTGAGAACAATATTCTTTGAAAAATAACAAAAATATGCTTATACACCCTTATGCTGCAAGTTTTTGTCGAGCAATTTATATAGCTAATGGACTCTCTGTGAAAGATTGTGGTCGCTCGGGTCGGTGTACATTTCAAGTATACAATGAAATATTATTATTATAAATCACTTGTAATACAATACTTTTTACATTGTAATAGTTTAATAGGTGATAAAAATCTAAAGGCTTTCATATATCGTCTAATTACTATATTATTTAAAGTAATTTCTTATGGCCGAATCTTCGTTGTCATAGTTATCGTTATTTGCGGGGAATCGTTCAAATACAATTATTTATTTTGATAAAACAGGCTCCTCTTATTACTGAAAGGGTTTTAAGATAAGAAAGAGTCCACTCTGCTGCAGGAATATATGTTGGCGGACTTCACAACATGTTTTCGAAATATATTTTATTTTATTTCTTAGAACTACTGTGTATTTCCTTACCACCGAGCACGTTGTAAATCAGCACTTCAAACTGCAATTAACAATTTCATTGGTACCGGAGGTAATCCAACGCGGATTGCTCGTGTACTGTAAAATTTATATTGAACACTTAGCTCCTGAGCCACCACGGCTTTCTTCTTTTTTAAAGATCTTTTATAATCTGTGACGAAGAGCGGGCGATTTTGCGATTGTATTCCTTATTCTTATTTTAGTTGTTGACATCTGGTGTTCCATTTGTCACCTAACTATACTAACTAACGAACTAAATCCTAACGATACCGGGTGGGTTACGTGGGGGGGGGGGTGGCTACGGTATGATATATGTTTTGTAGATATTCTTACATCGCCACAATACTTTATCAAATTTTAATGATTTCTGTAAGCCTAACGTGCTAGCAATAAACATAATATAGAAATATTAATACAAGTTCAGTTGAATAATAAATAAAATATGCACGTAATAAATATGTATTTTAATTAAAAAAATCATTAAAAGAGAGGAAATAATTTAACTGTATTTACGTCGCCTCGCAAAGGCTACGCTTAGGCCACTCGAAGAATGTTTGGAGCTGTGGGAGTGATGGGTTCGGTGAGTGTCAGTTGATCTTCCAGATCGAATAGAGCGTAGTGATTTAACCTCATCCTTCCCTTCAGCATCCGCAAGTGTCTCTACGCTTCCTTGCTCCCGTGGCGGTCTCTTCACGGGTTTTATATCACCGCTAAATTTAAGCGCGAACTTAAGCTCTTCGACAAGCTCGTACTTGAATGTTGTCTGAAAGTTTAAATTTATCACAATAAAAATCATTATCAGATTATCATAAATCTAAAGTTATTTTTTTTTAAATATTTGTGGTGTTTTATAATATCTATTGGGGATATCTTCGAATTTTCGTTAGCAACTTAAGCTTTAATATTTTCCTATTCCTTTATATTTTATTAAATGATCTTAATCACTACTCGTCTTTGTAGTTTCAATGACTGTTAGGTTTTGTTTTATAATGCAAAATATTAAACATTTATTACAGTCTAAAAGCAATTGTGGATCCTGGGTGTCAATGTTGCGATCTGCAAAGTAAATGGTTCTGATCGAGTTCAGAATTAATTGCGGTGGTTGAATTCGTCCGGGAGAATATAATAGCAATTAACCTCCTAATAAACTTAATACTTCCTGTTGTCCGAGATGCCCATGTCTATTATCTATTAGTAAAATTTTGAGATTGCATAGTACATGATACTATTACAACGCGCTTCATACTTTTGTTAAGTGGACTATCATAGCTAGCTAAGTCAACATATTGTACTATTTAAGGCTACATTATGACAGCTAAAAAATAAGTAGTTAAATAAAATTTTTGTACAACCGACTTCAATATAAATAAAATGAGAACATCATCAATGTAGTCCAAGTCAATTAAACACGCATTATGAAGGATAACTCAAAGACGACTGTTTAGATCTTGATAAAATTTATACATACATAAACATACATAAACACTCACGCCTGTCACCCAGAGGGGTAGGCAGAGACTACAGACTTCCATTTGGCATGATCTTGACACACCTCTCTCGCCTCCTTCACATCCATACACCTACGCATTCATGCTCGTCGGTTAAGGGTACTCCTAATTTGGCCCGTTTTCAATAAATCGCCAATTTGGTCGATAAATTTTCCCCTAGTACGTCCCTTTCCGACTCTGCCATTCACTTCTACAACATAAATTTTCTTTGTCACTCTTTGCTCATTCATTCTTTCCACATGACCAAACCACCGAAGCATTCCTTTCTTAATCTTGGTCCCAACATCATCTTGCAAACCACATTCTTCTCTTATTACACAATTTCTTACCCTGTCATTCAGATTCAGCCCTAATATACTCCTTAACGACCGTATTTCTACTGCGTTCATTCCACTCTCGTGCTTCTTCTGCCCCACCCAACTTTCACTACCATACGTTAAAGTAGGGACCAACACAGCATTGTGAATTGCCATACGTGTCTTTTTCGACACATTTTGACTCTTCACAATAGAGTTTAGGGTCCCATTTATTCTAGTTCCTGCATTCACTCGTCGTTCTATATCCTTATCACATCTGCCATCCCTGCTAAATACGCAACCCAGATATACAAACTCATCTACTTGCTCGATCAGCTCCCCTTCTATTCTTATTTCACATATCGTCTTACTTTCTTCTCTTTCAAAAACCATAACTTTCGTCTTACTTGCGTTTACTTTCATACCCCTTTCTTTTAATGATCTGTTCATTAACGTAACCATCATTTGCAGCTCGGCCGCCGACGACTCAAGAATAACTTGATCATCGGCGTACAAAAGGCATTTGACGGTTAACTCACCCATTCTTAATCCGCATTCTTCAATTTTCAGAAATCTGTCCATAAATAGATTGAACAGCCACGGGGAAGCCACACAGCCCTGTCTGACCCTTTATGGATGCCAAACCAGTCCGAGTAGACCTCGTTGATCCTAACACAAGCACTAGAATCCCTATAAAGCGACTCCAATGCCTGTATCAAGCCAGCGCAGATAAAATTTATATAGGACCACTTGAGGAGCGCCAGTTTTAAAATAAAGAGAGTCATGAACATCGGTTCACCTAGAAAAAAGTTTTGAGGTAACACACAAAAAAATAAAGTTGAATTGAAAACATTTTCCTTTTTTGAAGTCGGTTGAAAACATAATGACCAACCTAAGTTTATTTTTCATATTGTTGAAATCGATATTTTCTATTTTAGTTACGATTTTAGCATGTAACTTTGTGAACTTTATGAAACAAGTGAAATCATTCATTAAGTTACTACATTCTTAAACGTAATGTATTATATGCCAGAATTTCAGAACTACATGAATAGTCGATTTTATACACCATGTATCGTAAACCTATCCAACTCTGATTGACATTTGATAAAACCGGAATTAAAGACACAATCAAGTATGAGTAATTTATCTAATTATTCCATGAAATAGAAAAAATACTAACATTATACTTAACAGAACGCTTGAAGACCCCCCATAACATATCAGTTATAGATATGAACAATCCAATTATACAACCGGCGCCCAAAACCACGAAGGCACCCAACATGTTTTTCAAGCCAAGTTGTTTCTGCTCTTCATCTTGTTTTATCTATAAACAGAAAGAATTAGTCCATCTCTCTGTGAAAAAAGAATATATAAAATCTTTAAAGAAAAAAAAATATAAAATATAACTGTAATTAAAGTTTTTGGCCTTATTTATACTACCACAAATTAACCGGTTTAATTTGTACCGCAAAATCTAACGCGCTTTATAAAAAATAAACGTAAAATATTTCAGTTATGGGAGGTATAAAAATATTTTTCTTTTAGGAAAAGAAACGCAGCCAGTGTTCTTGGTATGATACGATACCACGGCGAGTGGGGCTGAAAATTTATGTTATTAGTTTTGTTTTTTTTATGTTAGTATAATTTTTTAATATTATATATTCTTTAGCCTTAGTTAATTCAAAATCCCTTATTACATAAAATAATTAATAAAAACATTTATTTACAAATACATCGTGCAGTAGCGGTATAACAGACTCCACTACAGCATACCATCGCGCGCCTATCGCCAGAGGCGACAGAGAGATTTTAAATGTTACCTCCACACTAAGATCCCAAATAAGAGTAAAACAGAAAATGCGCAGTAGCATATTCCTGATAGCAACTTCATAGAAAACATTGGTTGCCAGCCTGCCTGCAGCAGTGAATTTTTGATTTGTTGTAATGATGATGATCATTTCGTTGACGGTAAGATACCTATATATGTGATATGTTTATAATGGAAGCAGACCATATGCTTATTTTGTTTTCGGTATGTCGTAAGAGTTTACTAAGAAGCCTGGATGGTGAAAAAGTTGCTAAAACTATCTTGTATTTGCAAGGTCTGCGTCAAGCAGTAGCTTCATATTAGGCAAATGTCTGATATCATGATGATATTGTGTTTATATCGTGAGTAAAGAAAACATCTTATCTTAGTTGTTTGGGTTATCAATGCATCTGCATTTTTTGATTCTCAGTTAATAATAATTAAAAGTATTTATAAGCTACATAATTATAATAACAAAATAATAAGGCGTAGGGAAGTGACGATCCCATCGCCCGCTGACGTAACGGTTATGTGACAAAACCGCTACGTCAGCGCAGTCAGTCAGCACCTTGCCAAGAGGTGTTAGTTCCGTGCCTCGGCAAAAATTGAAGGTGCAAAGGCCCGCTTGTGCACATGGCCCCATCATGAAACGGCGCCGGGTCTGGGCGTCTAAAAATGGATGATGGAATTAAATAGAACGCGCAAAGGGCTGCTGCCTGGAGGTCGCCAGGGCGCGGCTGGACGCGACAGCATGCGAACCGCCAGCCGAGTGCAAGGTGCTGCATGACCACCCAGCAGCCCCTCGCATCCATCATCCCCACCAGCTGGCGTGGTGTCGGCGGGGTCTTCGCGGGCCCAGCAATCGGCACCCGCCTCTGGTGGAGTACGCCGCATGCGTTGGACAACCCAGATGAACAGCAACGCATTGCGGGCGTATTTTAGGGCGAAAGGGGGAGAAACTGGAGGTTTTGCGTATCGGGCAAGGATGCATCGACTTTTTGCTGAGCTGGAGCCATCTGTAACCGTCACCGAGCAAAACCTGGCAGACCGAGTTCGGTATATCTTGCGCTCAAATACATTTGATGTTACCGAACTCAAACGGCTACGACGTGAGGCTGTTCCTTCATCGGGTGAAAATGCTGCGGCTGAGGATACGGCGCCACAACTTGCTGAGCAAACGGCAAATGTGGATGCCGCTGTGAACACGCCAGTTGTGGTTGATTCAGACGATGATGGGACAGTCGCCCAGAAACTGGAACTAGAGCAAATGAGGAGTACATTGGAAGAGGCGATTGTGAAAACGCGCAGTACGCCTCTCGAAAATCGACCGCGACTTCCCCGTTTAGACCTAAGCAAGCGGAATCGGGCTGTCGTGAGGGCTCTGAACCCAAAGCTGGTTACCTATTTGGAAGCCAGCCGGGACCTTGTCAATTCTTTTTGGCGCCGCACTGGCAGTCTGCCGTATTATAGGCCCAAACTTTCCACGGCTGGACGCGCTACTGGACAAAGTAGTGCTATCCCAGCCTGGAGAATAAGAATTGAAGAACGTATCGCAAAGGCTAGGGCCCTCATCGGCAGACTGATATGCTTCAGGTCAGGCAATACCAGGCCAAGGATTGTGCGCACCGTCAGGATGGCGTTTGCTGGGACAAATGTTAGTTTATCCCAGCCGGATATAATGCAAAAACTGACGGAGCGCATAGACGACCTGAAGCAAAGAATCGCTGCTTGGGGAAAGCGGATTCGGCGATATACCGAGAGGTAGACACGGTTCTACCAGAATCGTCTCTTCCAGAGTGATCAGAAGAGGCTCTATAAATCATTGGAGCGACCAATAGTAAGTGGAACGGGCCCAGCACCAAATCAGGCCGATATTGTCGCATTCTGGCGCAGCCTGTGGTGAGAGCCCGTAAAACACAACGAGGGCCCTTCGACGGAAGTTGTGGCGAGTCAGTGTGCGGGTATTACGCCCATGGACCCCGTCATCATAACGCCGGATGACGTAGCTGAGGCGGTTCGTAGGGCCCCGAACTGTAAAAGTCCGGGGCTTGACGGGCTGCACCACTACTGGCTGAAGGGGTTCATGGTGTGTCATGTGGTTGCCCGACAGTTTCAAGAGGCTCTCAACCAGAAGTCGCTCCCAAGCCTCTTCACTACTGGGATCACTCATTTGGTTCCTAAGGATCAGGATGCCACAGACCCGAGCAAATACCGCCCCATCACGTGTCTACCGACCATATACAAGACCATATAAAACTAACATCCATTTTGAGCGCGAGAATTACTCGTCACCTGGACTCTAATCAGGTGATGTCGCGCGCTCAAAATGGATGTCGGGGCGGCGGTCGTGGAACCAAGGAACCACTCCTCATTGACGCGGTCATTGGCAAAGTGTGAAACGCAACCGTCGGAACTTCTCCGCCGCCTGGATAGATTACAGAAAGGCATTTGACTCGGTGCCCCATACATGGTTAAAGAGGGTCTTAGAGCTGTACAAGATTGACTGTACAGTTCGAGACTTCCTCGAGCAGTGTATGGGGCAGTGGAGTACGATCCTCTGTCATCTAGGCGAGCGGATGACGGCTGCGGAAAGCCGCATAAGGATAGGAAGGGGTATATTCCAGGGCGACTGTCTGTGAGTTCAATCTGGTTCTGCCTCTCTTTGAACCCTCTCAGTACTTTACTGGAGGGCTCCGGGAGGGGATTTCAGCTTCGAAAAGGAGGTACAAAAGTAACCCACCTTTTCTATATGGATGACCTCAAGTTATTCGCCTCCAGTCGCTCCCATCTTATGAAATTGTTTAACATCACTTGTGAATTTAGCAATTCTATTAGAATGGAGCTGGGGACGGACAAGTGTGCGGTCATCCATGTTGAAAGGGGAGGGGTTGCTAACTCTGAGGGCATAGACTTATCTATGCCCGTCAACTTAAGGGCCCTTTCCGAGGCTGAAACATACCGATACCTGGGTATGTCACAGAACATCGGTATCGATGAGGCTGGTATGAAACAGTCAGTTTGCGACGTGTTTTATGCACGCTTGACCAAAGTGCTTAACAGCCTTTTGTCCGGTGTGAATAAGACACATGCATATAATGGTTGGGTCATGCCTGTCCTCATGTATACCTTCGGCATACTCAGGTGGAGTCAGACTGAATTTAACGCCCTGGATAGAAAAGTCCGCACTACAATGAGGTCCCATAGGATGCATCATCCGAGATCGTCGGTAATGAGGCTGTACTTGCCGCGAAAGCATGGTGGGCGTGGCTTCCTGAGCGCGCTCACCATGCATAATCGCGAAGTGTGCAGGCTCCGTCACTACTTCCTGGCGAGATCGGATGATCCATTCTATAATGACGTCATTTCTAGTGATAAAGAACCTATCCCTCTATCCTTAGCCAACGAGCAATGGCAAGACCCGGCAGTACAGAGCATTTCCGACCGGGACACCGTATGAAAGGAGAAGGAGCTCCACGGGAGGTACTACAGGGCTCTACATGAGCCTCACGTAGATACAGCCGCCTCCCTCAACTGGCTACGTTTCGGTGACCTCTTCGGGGAAACCGAGGGTTTTGTCTGTGCAATACAGGATCAGGTTATTAAGACCAACAACTATTGGAGATACATCCTAAAGGATGGCACTGTCGACGTCTGTCGAGCTTGTCGCCATCCCGGGGAGTCACTTAGGCATGTCATCTCCGGTTGTTCGGCGCTTTCTAACTCTGAGTACTTGCACAGGCACAACCTAGTAGCCAGAATTCTACACCAGGAGCTCGCTCTGAAATACGGTCTCGTGGACCGAAAATTGCCTTATTACAAGTACTTGCTGGAAGCCGTGCTCGAAAATGACCGCGCCAGGCTCTACTGGGACCGGGCCATCATCACAGACAGGACTATTCTTGCGAATAAGCCTAATATTGTGCTGATGGACCGGGCACAGTCAAGGATATTTTTGATCGACATTACCATTCCGTATGACGAGAACCTCGTGAAAGCCGAAACAGATAAACGAACAAAATATCTGGACCTGGATCACGAGGTGGTATGCCGACCGAAATTATTCTGTAGTCGTCTCTGCGAATGGGCTAATCCTAGTCAGCCTCTCGGGTCATCTGAGGCGACTGGGACTCCGTAACGAACCGCTCCGGGCTCAAATGCAGAAGGCAGTGCTCCTCGATACCGCCCGCATCGTCCGCCGGTTTCTTTCCCTTTCCCCCTAACCCTCGGCCGTTTGGTCTCCCCTGCCGAGGGCTCCCATCTGGTTGGATCTTATTTATTTATGTTGTTGTTGTATTTATTTTATTTTATTGATATTTATGTATATATATATGTATATATATATATATTTTTATATATATTATCTTTTCATTTTAATTTATAATTACATATTTATATAGAACCCAACCAGGTGAGAAAATTATATAGATACCCCAATTTAATAAATTTTCCCACAATATAATAATAATATTTTTATTGACATATTATAGATTTAACAAATGTAAGCAAGAACAGTAAGCTAAACATCTAAACAATGTTCAAGATAAGATATACAAATATTTTCCGTTGGACCCCAAACTAGGATAATCCTGTATCTTGGGGTCATCTATTTATCATCAGGTGTACTAAGTTCGTTTGACTCCTTTATTTGTATAAAAAATTGATGTCATCCATAGGGATGCAATTAAGCATGGCAAAGATTTTCTACGATAAGAAAGGCTTTCATCCAGTTTAGGACGTTCACGTTCTGATGAAACAGAAGAACGTTAGGTTTAAATAAATCAGATATTTGGAAACTATCTATATTTGTGAAATGGTAATTTTTTTTAGTTGAAACATTGATTATCCACGCAAACAAGCTTAATACTTAGTATTTTAGGTAATGTGTGTTTGAAACTCAATTTCGGACATCGCACACTAAAGTTACGCAATCAGATTTAATGTACATGTGATATCCCGCTGACGAATGGTATAAAATTGCAATGAATCGTAAATGTTTAAGTGCAGTAACGCACGTAGTACGTGCAGTACGCACGTTTGTTATTCTAATCTATTTAAGTAAAAAGTAGTTTAAAAGTTATTGGCGCGATAACATTCCAACTTTGTGTAAGATAAAATTAACCTCAATGTATTAGTTGCGAGAAACTATTTAGATTTTTTTACATAAATCGTATTAGTTCGGGGTGGGGGTGTCCGCTCTGAAATTCATCATCAACATCTGAAATTCATTTTAAGTTGCGCCGCCGATATGACAGAAAAAGTCGTGGACGCCGTCATTGAACCAATTGTCGAGACAATGGGTGCGTTTGGCAGAAAAAAGCGCTAGCAAGCGCTTGTAAGCAAAATGGCGATCGTAAGCGGTAAGCGCTGTCAAATCGAAAGTAGCTATTTTCCTCTAGGACACGATGTTAATTTTAACCGGGGGACCTAACCTAATTTAAATATATGTTTGTAAAGTATTCATATTAAAAACTTACCAATCATGAGTTTTTAATAGCATGTATATGTCTATTCATGTCATTATATTACTTAAAACTAATATTGCACAAAAAAACCTTATAAACTCTACTTCAAAACAAACAAATTAAATAAGCAAAATGGCGGATTGTGTCAGCGCTACTGAAGTAGCAATCGTGTCCTGGCCGAAAACTATTTTAGCGCTTGTAAGCGCTTGCTAGCGCTTTTTTCTGCCAAACGCACCCATTGGTTCACAGCTTTGCTAGGATTCGATTGTGACGCTTGTCAAGTTATTAACAAATTCTCTATTTATGGGCCAAAATGTCAATTGTTCACAATACAATGTTCTTTTAGTGACAAAAAAGAAATTTACAACATCTGGCTCCAATAGCGACATCTGCGCCACATTTCGAGCTATTAAAGAGTTTTATATTGAGAGATTTAATTCTTCGATACATTGTAGCTAAAGATAGCACCGGTTTTGAAAGCGATTGCGTGAGTTTTTTTAAAATGGAAAATGATTATTTTGTTATTTTTATATTTGTTTTCAACGTACCCCACATTTGCCACCGCCACGTTTTTCTTTCCACCAAATGTTTTTCAACTTCTCAATTTCACCTGACTCCTTTAACTTGAGCAATCCGTAGTCTATATATTTTTTGTAAGGTGATCCTAAATATTGAATAAAAGTTAGCATATAAAATGTGAAAATCAAAATTTCAGGATACAATTATTTACCCTTTTTTCATGCCAATTCCATAACTTTTCGAATCAAGTAAATTCCCTATTTGGAGTAAATCACAATGCCTTTCTTTGTAATATTCCAAAGACGTCGATTCCATGAAAAAGGCATATGTTTCATTTTCGGTTCTGTGAAAAATGAAACAAATTTTTTCTTGATTAAAATGTGTTACTACTTAATTTAAATAATAAATATTTCCATTAATCTATACTTACCTTGCTACACCTATATCGTTGTTATCGACTAACCAGTTATTTTCAATCATTTTCTTGTACATATTCATAAGTGTAGGGTTGGTTGAATGCTGAAACCACATTACAATCATTAACAAATTTTCGAGTGTTGTTATAAAAACATTTTTCTGCATTTTCCTTAATATTTTAGTTGAACGTTTTTGGGATTAGGTATAAAATATTAAATAAAATCAACCTAAAGTTTTCTCATGAATACAATTTTTTTCATTTCAGCCATGTTAGCTCAGATAATAATAGCTCATTTTAAAATTTATTGTATTATATCAACCCAGAATCGATACTCGAAAACACCAACGAAATTGTTAATTGCAATTTTAAATTTTAATTTATTGTGTGAGTGCATTGGTCACTTTCCATCGGGTTGACTGTAAGTTCGTTTCCCAATTCAGTTTTATAAGATAGTTCGATGTTCGTTAACGTCCTCGGCGGTTGGTGATAAAGTGAAGCAGTAGGACATGAACAGACCACCGCATGTTGATAATGATGGTCATTAAATGTCGAAGTCCAAAATCCTCTTCATAACCTGTGCTCAATGCTGTAACTTTATTTTTAGTTATATAATTATAAAAACTCATAAAGTCATAAAACCTCAAAGAAATCTTTTGTTGATCCATTTAGCTTAGCACCATATGAGATTGACTTGTGCTTGTAAAGCTGCTCTACTGTTTCAAAAGGAAGAACATTCTTCTCAACCGTTAGGAAGGCTACCAGCGTCCCTACGTATGACGCCACTATTACCATTGTAAAGAACCACCAAACACTTGTTATTAAACGTGGTGCTAATGCTCTGAAATATAAACAAAAATATATTTAATTGTATTATACAATTATGTTATTTATAAAGTTATGTTCTGACTAAGATGCCGAATGTTATATATTTCATAGAAGAGGGAGCAAACAAGCATGAGGCTCGCTTGGTTATCAAGTTAAGTGTGAGTACGTGCTATCCGTACATTTCTTTCTAGAACGGAGGTTTTATCCGAAACAGTGATAAAAACACAAATGTCTTTCAAAATTTTTGTCAAGCCTTGTTATCTATCATCATCATCATCTATGGTCATGGACAAATTTAGAGGAAGGCGAAGAAAATTTCTATAACACAAAATATCATGGATGTGAGAATTATGTTTTATATTTTAGATTTTCCTTATTATTCTTTAATTTAAAATTGCATACGTTGTAAAAAAATAGACATAAATAAGAAAAAAAGAAAAATTTTACAGGAATGAAACATTTTTGGATTTTTTTTTTCATAACTGTCAACGTTTCCGTTCTGGAAATTGCGACCTTCAGATCCAACTTCGTGAACGGCTGGAGACCGAAGTGGAAAATGAAGAATTAAAGGCTATTGCTATCCATGACAATGCACTTCAGAGATAGCTACAGGCTTCAGAGTAAGTGATAAAATTATATTAATTCAGTTGAAGCAAATCGGGAAAGTAAAAGAACTTGACCGATGGGTACCTCATGAAATGAGTGAATCGAACTTGCAAACATGCGTCAACTGCTGTGTTACTTTGCTCAACCGACACAAAAATGAAGGGATTTTAAATCGAATCATTACTTGTGATGAAAAGTGGATACTGTACGATAATCGAAAGCGCTCGTCGCAATGGCTGAACCCTGGAGACTCAGCCAAGTCCTGTCTTAAACGAAAATTTACTCAAAAAATTTACTTGTGAGTGTTTGGTGGACTAGCGCCGGTGTCGTTCACTACGGCTTTCTAAAACCTGACCAAGCGACTACGTCAGATATCAATTATCAGCAACTGCAAACCATGAAGGAAGAACTAGCTTCTAAACAACCGAGATTGGTCAATCGCTCTAGGTCACTGCTGCATCAGGACAACGCAAGACCAAACACTGCACAACAAACAACCACTAAGTTAGATGAGCTACAATTGAAATGTCTGCGACATCCAATGTACTCCCCGGACCTTGTTTCAACAGATTACCATTTTTTCCGGAATTTGGACAACTTCTTACAAGGAAAAAAATTCAACTCCGATGCGGCAGTGCAAACCACCTTCAAAGAGTTTATTGATTCTCGCCCCCATGGTTTTTTTTAATAAAGGGATCAATGAACTACCTATGAGATAGCAAAAGTGCATAGATAACAATGGTGCATACTTTGATAAATTAAATATATTTTACAAAAAAAAATGTCTTTATTTTCCTCCCGTATAAACGCCAATTTTATATGTAAGGACCTATTATTTGCATGCCGAGACGTGAGCCCAGGCCTGGTAGCACTTTTGCTTATGGCGTAATGCAATTATGCAGGAGCGACTAAACCATGGCTGGGTTCTGCCTCCGATGTACCACGGATGATGGAATAAAAAACTCCATTCCGTGCACTTCATCAGCGACAGATTTAATGATAAGCAATCTCGCCTTCAAGTGTAGGATGCAAAAAACGATCGCATCCCATCCCAAGCGGCTGACCTGAAATGCCAAACACGGTGGCAACCTGCAGAACGCAACCGCGATGAGAGCGTAATTGGCACCGTACTCCGGATCAAATATTGGTTCGAGGAGCCAAGAGGGGCATCGACGGAGGTCTGATATCCATCTGGATGACAGGTCAGCAGAAGGTCCAACAGGGAAGGTACAAGATCTTCCACATCTGGGATCCGCGTAGGCGAGGCAACCAGTTGTATAAGACCATATGCCAAAGAAAGTCATAAAAGTCTATCCGCATAATCGGTTAAACGATAACCAAGCCATTCAGCGTGATTGGCGTTAAAATCACCAAGCATTATGATCTCTGTGGATGGGAACTGTTGTAGCACGGAATCTGCAGCCATGACGACGTGGTTGGACGTGGTCGAATAGTCGGTCTGTGTCGGCATTACCGCTATGGGACCTATAGAGGCACCCGTAGACGCGGGGATGGCTGTCGCTGTCTACACGCAGACATAAGATGGACAGGTCCATACCTTCAAGGATGCCGGGGCGTCGAAAACAGATGTCATCTCTGACTAAAACACGTAATTAGAACACAAAAGAGTGTTCTAATTTGTACCCCGGGTAGGAGAGATACATAGTATTAGCCGGATAGGACACCCGTGTCTCGATTAGAAAGAGCAAGGCCGGCTTAGTCGTTTCCAGATGGTAGTGGATGGCGTTAAGGTTTGAATAAGTCCCCTGATGTTGCAGAAATTCACGGATAGCGTGGGATGGGGGCCTTTGACTTATTGCTCCGTTTACCCCGATCAGATTTAGTCTCGAGCGAAATTTTGCCCCCCACTTCCCAAAATACGCGGGACAGTCGAACGGTCACGCTCAGGAAGAGTAGGTTAGCCTGGGCGTGAATGCTCAGCGAGTGATTATGCATCAGTGGGGGTGCTGGTACCCTCCAGGGGTAGTGTTTTATTTAACTCTGCCACCATGTTAATAGTGGTGGGGGGGGGATTGGGCCTGCGGGCATCTGCACTTACCAAACAGAAGGTCTTCTGTGAGGTCGTCGTACCACCCCCGTTCGAGCCGGCCAATGCGTGTAACAGTAAGAGCTGCCGCGTAGCTCTACTACTGTTAATTTCATAAGAAGTGTATAAATTTATAAATTATACACTTCTTATTATATTTATTTATACTATATATTTATAAATTAATGTAAGTCATGCTTTTCAAAAAAATGTCCCACTGCGTTGCTTGCGGGTTCTTCCCAGTACAGAAGTGTTTTTTTTTCGATTCAGTCGTAAAAGTAAAAAAATGACTTTCAATAAGAAATACCTATATCTAATCAATATTAAAAAAATATGATTATTTTTCTATCCAGCTGAACCTTTCGTACTGCACTGCAGTGTGGCACTATTATCTAAACAAAGTTGATAAACATTTAAATAAGAAGAATGTCTATAAAATATTTCATGTAAAAAAATCTATTAATCTTACATTGGAGCAATCTCAGATCCTTGTTGCATAACTGATCCGATAATAAGCCACACGGAATTCGAAAAACTAAACTGATTGATTAACTCTTCTGGGGTTTCAATGCAAGGTACTAGATTCTGCCATTCTTTGTGCGAAATTCGACCGACAAATATCATTATCACTCCAAGACCTAGCTGCACCAACACCATATAGTACCAAACCTGAAGGGAAATTTAAAAAAAATCAAAAACATAGAAGCGAACTTACGTACATCCAAGATTGTTTTGGGTAACTTAGTTCGTAGTAGATAGTTGTAGATATGTGCCGTTAATAGTTGTCACACTTGGCAAGCGGGTTGGCAAACGCTGTTTTCTATTTATAGTCGTTATTAGGAAGAAGGTTACTGCCCATTTCCAGAATCGTTTACCTCTGTTGCCTCTTACGACACCCACGGGATGATTTGGGGTAGTGGATATTCTTTAACCGCCACCACTATTACCGCGTAGTGGCGGTGTAAGCTTAGTTCACGGTTGATTTAATATCAAAAAGTATATAAAGCGTTTGAAATAATAAGCATTAAAGTATCTATATAACAATCACTTTTTTCTTAAGTTTTCTAAAATATAGCAATTCACTCACGGAAAAATTAACTACATCAATAATTTAATTAACACAAAATCACAATGACGTTTAACTTACTTCCTTTGAGAAAACAGCCATAAAAGAAAACATTGCAGGAGGTTGCTTGCTAGGTTCTTTGTACAAAATTCCTATTCCGAGAGTCATGAATGGCGTTGAAAAATCTATTACACTTTGTCGTATCGATGTCATTGTAAAATCGCAAATGGCGAAGTCTGCTCTCTGTAAAAAGGAATTTTGAAAATGTACATACTCTCATGTTAAAAAAAAAACTTAACCTTAAACTTTAATTATTTTTGCTTACATCTTCCATAAGTTGTAGAACCATTCCATTCCATTTTTTTGTCACTTTGTCCAGGGAACCATAAGCATTTTGTTCTTCAAATTCATAATTAAATCCTAATATTTGCGATAATTTTTCAATTAAATCTATCGTAAATCCTTCATAACGATCGTTTCCTTCTAATTGATGTGTTGATTCTTTGACGTATCCATAAGGAGGGGACTGCAATTAAGGAAATTTACATTAACTTTGAAATGACAATAAATTATCGTCACCATCATGTAAATTAAAAACTGAACTCACTGTTGAAATTAACACTTTAAACGTTCTATTCATCATGATAGTCTCTTCAACAATATCGGTTGAACCCACGGACTGTCTAGTAATTATGAGATCGCTATTATTCCAGTTTCCAATCTAAAATAAAATTACAAATTTAATATTAAATACAAAGTACATTTTAAAATTATATTATGGACTTAGTTGTCATCTTGCTTAATCTGCCATTATATACAATTCATGTCAATTTTTCGGCTGGAAAGGTTTTTCAAAATCTTCGTACATTGTAGACACTGCTTTTTGTTAACAATAAATATTACAGATCTTTCACGTCTGCGAGTTTTTAAAATAAGATGCCTAAGTTAACTTAGTCACTCCCACGGGACTAAATTGTTTGCTGGTCTATCAAACCGCTCCCCTACAGTGAATGTGTGGATGTGAGAGCTGGTATTGAGATGCTTGTCATTTATAAATTATTGAGAAAAAAACTGTTAGATTATATGAAATTAAAATTTAAATTATTTTATGCAATTGTGAAGGCGCAATATTATCAATAGTAAATATTAATTAATTCTTATATAAATTCATCTATAAATATCATAGATGTAATATTTTGAACAATTTGACATGCATTAATTAATAAACATAAAATAAAATAAATTCATATTCAACACTGAGGACGTGTAAACGTTTCAAGAGCTGATTAGCTCAAAACAGTACTTTTTAAACGCTTAACTTTCACAAATGTTAATTACTAATAACTTTAGGAAATTTTATGGTCTAAATAATTGTAAGAGATTTTTGTAGATTAAAATAGTTACTAGAAAAGATATTTTGATTTAATATATACATGAGAAATTAAAAATTTAAGCCAAGTGATTTTTTTTTAAATGCTGTCGATAAAATGATTATTATTTTCATCTTCCTCTAATATTGCCTTTCATCAAATTTATGTTCATTAATTTAATAAAATAATTGCATAATATTGTTGACGCCATAATTAATCTCTGGTATACGACGACATTAGTTACCACTAGCGCGCTCTAGTATCGCGTAGCAAAACCAGGAGAGTCAAGATCCTTTTAGAGATTTCCATGCTAGAACCTTCTAGAACTAGTCAGTCGGGACGAGTATGTACTCGACCATTCTAGATGTTTCAGTAGAAGAGGCCCTATATAAGGCCGGTATCGACCGCGACCCGAGTCAGTATTGAATTGGCGATTCAAGCAAATACTTCGAAGCGATACGACTGCGAACTAAAGTGACCAGTAGTAAAATTGTGTTTTATTATTACTGTGTTTTAAGTTGTAATTCTTGTTATGTAATTAAAGTAAATGAAATAAAAATTTTTACTGTCACGAACCCCCAGGTCCTAACAGCTGGTGCCAGAAGTGGAATAAAATCATGCCAATTTTACCTAAGGACGATACGGAGGGTGTCCGTACTCGAAGTCAACGCCAGCAGGAGACGGACCAGAGACGATTTGGTGAGCAATGCCGCAGACGTCGGAGGGCCAACTGCCGACCATGGAGGCCGGCCCGTCAGCAGCTCCTACATCTGCTGCATCTGACTTAGGTACTCTGATGATGATTGCAAGGAGCAGGCCCGCCGATAGGAGGAACAGGCCGGTCAGGTGTAAAGCAGCTCCAGTGCAGATAGGAGGAGCAGATACCTCTCATGAAGGAGCTTACGCTACCTTCGGGAAAGAGATAAGGGAGGTGAAGTATAGGGTTGTTCAACATAACAACCGCCTTTCGGAAGCTGGAACCCGAATCGACCAAGTGAACAATCGGGTTGACAACGTGATGGCTGACGTGAAGAAAACGCTGGATGACCTCAAATTTGGAGATGAAATTACAGCTCCCGTAGTAGCTACAACACCTTCGCTACGTGGATTCAAATTGCCGCCGCCCGATGGGACTTCTCCCTGGTCGGCCTACAAAATCAGATTCGAGACCGTCATGAAGGCGAACGATAGAAAGATATTTTGACAAAATAAAATGTGATACTCGTTCGATATTATCTCAGGATAATGAATTAGCTTAGAATAGCTCTCCAGCATAAAAAACGGCAAGGTAAGAGGTTTTTCAAGTGAGCGGAGAGTCGGAAATTAATGTCTTTCAGGAGCTATTTAATTATCATATCGTTATTATCTTTATCCATGTGTATAAATACAACAAATATCGTTGATATCTTTATCCATGGGATACCATATGAAAGGGATATATTTTGTAAATTATTTCCTATGCCTTTATTATTTTTTATAATTTTAAACAATGTAAATTGCTTTCGGTTTCAGTATCACCTCTAAAAATTTTACACCTAAAGCTTTTTATAACTCAGGACACAGAAATTATTTCTATAGGCAAGTCCAACTACGACCAAGTGGTCATCAGACGAATCGAACTCGCTCGTGTAGTCTAATAACCCTACAAACACAAATGCACGACCGGTGCGTGTTGCCGGCGATGACATATAACTAGATCATGTCTAGATATATGTCATTACTTTAGGCGCATGAAAAATCTTAAAGTCGTTCTGCAAGCTATGTAGAGGGAGGTGTTCTGGGTTCCTTCGCGAAACAGAATCTATATCGAAGATATCAACAAAACCAGAGTTACCGACATCTCCAATGTATCACATGTATGAGCAACGGGCCGGCCATAAATCAAAGAACCGCCAAACCACTGAGTTGAAAAATTCCCAAGTGGCAACCTCATGATAAGCGGAACAAAATGCACTTATTTCATGCATGTAATTTTGGATTGTGGAATGATGTTAAATATCAGCATTCCACAATCCTCTTAAGTATTTTAGTGACGTTAAGGCTTAACCATTTGTCTTCATGCATGTTGTTCGTTAAATCTGAATAAACGCTCGCAATTAATTCGGAATGACTCTGTACTAAATTACAAAAATGTCTCGTCAATTTAACGCAGCCCTTAGCATCCGTTTCCAACCATCGCCAATTTTTGATAGCGTGTCAGCATAGTTTCCAGCATTGATATCATTATACAGATGCACTCTCATATTCATAGTTAAACTGAATTTTGTCACCTTGTTCCATAAAATAGACGACTTGAGGCATGCTTTAATTTCATCTGCAGGTGTGCCCGACTGAATGACAGGTAAAGTTTGGCGAAAGTCACCAGCCAGTAAAACCATCATTCCTCCCATTACATCGGTGTTGCTGCGCAAATCCTGGAGCGTTCGAGTTAGTGTTTCTACAGCTTTTTATGCGACACTGTACTTTCGTCCCACACTAAAAGTTTGCATTGTCGGAGCATTATACCTCGTGCACTATTTTTGCTAAAGTTGCAGATCGGCGATTCTTCCTAGGCTAGATTTAGAGAGAGTTTTAAAACAGAATGTGCAGTGCGGCCCCCGCTTAGCAGCGTGGTGGCTATACCGGAGGAAGCTACGGCCACAGCAATGTTTTTATCTTTCCGTACTTGCGCTAATAATAAATTTAACAAAAATGTCTTCCCAGTTCCTCCAGGGGCATCTAAAAAGAAAAGTGCACCATTTCTAGATTCAATTTGTCCTAATACTTTGTCAAAAACTCGTTTTTGTTCGGGAAGCAAGCGGGGTACAAATTCGGCTACTTGCTGCTGCAAAGCTGGTGTACCGTAGTTTGTTTCACGTATAATTTCATCACTTAGTTCATTTTCGGTTGTTTGCTGAGGGCTTAATAAAAAGTCGCTTAATTTTTTGCCTACCATTGCCATTACTTTATCTTCAATTTTTCCAAGTGCTTCATTATAAATGTGTTCATTGTATGTCATGTTCGCGTGTGTCTGCTGTAACCTTCGCAAAATATCTTCCGCCATGTACTCTTTATATGTCGCCCCCCAATACATAGATAGCCCGTAAGATGATATGAGAGTTGCATAAATATCCCTAATTTTGGCTGGTGACTAGCACTGCACAGCTTCCTCAATGGTTTTATCCCAGTGATTATCGTTTTCTAAAAGATGCAGAGCTTCACATGCTTCTCTATATGTTGCGCATTCCTGACCGTTGACAGTTTTAAGGTCTTTATATCCTGTAGGACCCCGAATATGGTGCAGCAGCAATCGTAAACAGAAACATTCAAAATTAGTTACATGGACGGTATACACACAACCAAGGGCATCTGATGACTTTACACCGGGCCAATTTGCAACGGGTGCACCTTAAATATGGCGTTTCCACTCCTTCCTAGATGTGTTCCAAGTAAATAGCGGGAGACTTCAGAATATAACAACGTTTTTGCAAAGGGGTCGGTTTGACAAAGTTGAAAGAAGGCTTTTAGTGTAGTTTTTGGCGGTGATGCATTTCTTTCTTGGAAATTTCTTTCGGTAAAATATACACGCTCTCCATTTTCTAAGTGCACAGCAGGGTGAGTAACTGTTGGGTGCCTTTCGTGTAAAGGGAAGCCAAGGAGACGCCACGCTGCCTCGTTACTGCTGATAAAACGCCCTACTTGAAAGGTCTGTACTTCATTAACGGGATTTGCCTCACCTTCACTCCTGAGATTAAATATTGCTTGGTCGCTTTCTCTATTTATGTACTTACAGATATACTTGATTGCGCGGACAGAGCTACATGCTTCTACATTAATGTGGACAGTAAACATTTTACATAGAATGGGCGAATACGGGACAATCCAGCTAAATCTAAGGTTAAAAAATCTAAGGATAAAAAATCTAAGGTTTCGAACGCTCCAGAGCGAGATTTGATTGTAACTTTCCTGCCACCATCTTCGGGAGCTCTGCGTCTGTATAAAGGGTAGCCATTGTCATTGTGCACTGTTTCTTTTAATAGCTGTTTAGGGAATTTCTTTGTACATTTTCCTTCTCTCATACATGGCGATATTGAATTTCGTGCTCCACATGGACCGTGAATCATATTTCGGACGATGGTATCATACAATTTTTTATCTTGCTCATGATCCGGAATTGCGCATGAAACCACAATGTATCTCACAAGTAATACGTATTATATTAAATTAGATTGCTTAATGCGATTGCCAAGTCAATGTATATATTTAAAACATAAAAGACTTTTAAAATTGATATGGTCACTAAATGTTGTTCGGTTAGCTAAGTGCGTAATAACTTAAAACAGAAGGACCCTTAAGTAGGAACTGAATAAAT